GAAAGAGGAAATAATTCATGACTGTCTTGAGGGACTAAAGCCAACAGCAAGGGAATAGAATTCCTAACTCCTGCAAATGACAGTGGTAATAGCAATGGCACCACAAAGAGAATGTGCATGACCTCAGCTGTGCCATGATGTGCCTGAGTACTACCTATTTTCCTATGGCTAGTTCTCCCACCTTCCTTCCCAATGATTCCATAAGATATCCAATACTCTTTTCATGGATTCCCTTTCTGTTTAAATTAGAGTCGGTTATCACTGAACTGGTACAAGGAACTACAACTTGCTTCAGCAGGCGATAGAAGACAAGTGACAAGTCTCTGGGCAGTGAAATAGCAGGAGAAAAGCTAGAATTAGAGAAGCAATATACAGAAAGGACTAGAGAGCCTTTCATTAGACAGAGAGGAAAAACTATTACAATAACTCAGATATAAGAGAACAAGGATCTTGATTAAGGTGATGATGAAAGGAGGTACTTCTGTGGGGCTTTTGGAAGGAAAAAAGACAAAACTAAAGGTCATAGAGAGAAGACTAGAGTTGAGGTAGGGGTGTTTAAAGACCTTATTTGATTTTCAGTATTATGAGAACATCTTTTTTTCCTAGATAGATGTTAGGAACCCCAGGGATCTGAGTTCTAGGAAACTAAGTCACTCCCAGGAGCAGCTACTGGGCTGCCTGAAAAACCAGGTGATACCTTAATTTGTATTTTAACATGCAATGCAAATATATCTATGGTACCAGTAATTACTACACTGTTATTCTTTACTACTCTCAGAATTTAGAGCCAAAGAAGTTTCTCTCTCCTGGCAAATCACTGTGTTTTCAGTCCCATTTCTCAATGAGACTATATTATTATATTTCCCTTTTTGCTTTATTAGGAGCCCGTCACCCTCCTTACCCTGGGATGACCAGTAGCTCACATTGGCCAAGGCCACATCCCAGAGGTGCTCTGAGAGATGCTTCATATACATTATCACCAACCTCTACAACTCTGTGATACCATAATACTACACTCAGTGTAAAGCAGAGGAAGTAGGCAGGTTGCCTGATCAAAGTGACATACCTAGTAAGAAGCAGAGCTAAGAAAATAGCCCATGTCAGTCCAAACTCTAAAAACCAGACTTCTGATATAATTTAGCTCATTCTCCCTACACTTCCCTTAACCTTTGGCCATCCAATTTTAAATCTCAGTCATTCATTCACTGAATTAATATTACTGAGCACCTACTCTATGAAGAGGAAGTAACAGTGTAGGAGTTTAGGAGCACAGACCCTGGAGCCAGACTATCTGGATTCAAATCCTAACTTTTTTCCTTACTAGTTAATGACTCGGGCAAGTGACTTACCATCTCTGTGCTTCAGTTTTCTCATCTCTGAATGGGGATAACAGTATCTACCTCATGGAGTTGTTTTAAGAATTTACTGGCTAATGTATATAATACAGAAAACAGAGCAAGCACCTAGCAACACCTATTACTGCTGGAGATATAGGGAGGGGGGCACTCAAAGAGAATAAAATCTCTATTTTCACTGATCTTACACTCTGACATCTGTTTCAGATAACTTTTATTCTGAGGTATCCTAAAACTATTTGGAAGATAAAAATAAACAAAGCTTTTATTGCCAATGTACTTTTCACAATTAAAATATCCATGACCAATGCTTTTTAATTTTTGTCCTAAGAACAAGATCTAATATGCCAATGAAAAATTTGCTTTCCTCCCTACAGAAAAAATGCAAAAGGGATACTACACTGCCTCTTTCAAAGCTATAATCAGTAACATCACCCTCATTTGCTAATAACCTCTTACAAGAGACATTTGCTTCTGTTTTCTAAAAGCCCGTAAGAAAGACCTTAGGGCAATCTACCTTAAACCACATATGGTTACATATACTCATGTTCATACCTGTATCCTCTGGGCAATGGTCTTGAGATCTATAGGTTCCTTAATTATTGCATAATAGTCTGGATATTGCTGGAAGAGAAAACCCCAGGCATGCTAAGTAAGTAAACGTATCCAGCTAATGAGAAAACAAGGAAACACACTGACAATCTTAATCAACTGGCATCTTTGTAAGATTTAAAAATCTTACAAAGACACAGCTGTACAGCATATTGTTGTATTTAAAGCAGAAAGAATTAGATTTAACAAGCTTCATGAAATACTCAACAGCCATATTATAGTTTATAGTTAGCATTTGGTAATTATCATTATATACAACTAATATATCACTACTTAATGTCTAAAAAAGTTCTAAATTCATAGAATCGGACAAATTAAGGTCCCAAGATACTCATGCCTGGAAATAAATTAGAGGAAATGTTTTTGATGGGCTAACTATAAGCTCTTTTAATTTTGCAATCTAAATAACACAATTATATCCTATTTCATAAAAAATTCTTAAGAAACTATAAGAAGTTAGGTTGCAAGATTTGTCAGTTTCATGTTTAACTTAATGCTTCTACTTATTTCAGTCAAAATATCTTTTTCAAAATAAAACATTTTAAATGAATTTCTGTTAAAGAAATGAAGCAAATTATAAGCATTTGTTTTATCAAATATTAGCTTATCACAAGAAAAGAAGTTAAACATGTTAAAGGAATGTCCTTGAAGGGTTTCATAAAACCTAGAGTGCATGCACTGCCTTAAGCCTTTCCTACACGTTTTGTTCCTTAGAGGAAATAACTGAAGTCAACTAAAACTCAAAAGCTGGTCTACTTAGGTTGGAGAATAAGTGCCAAGAGAAGTTAGACTATGCTCTCCAGGCTCTTCCTACCTGTTCAAATCCTGGAACCCAAACAATAAAAAGCAGGAGGCCACAGCTTTCACTTAGTTACTAGGCTGAAGGGATGATCTCAGTGATGATTCATCTTATCTGATCCCTCACTTTACTTCTGTTTTCTTAACCTTACTCTTTTCTTTGTTTGGATCAAATACCTTTCTTGTCTCCTCTCCACCAATTTTACTTCTGAGTAACCTAGTTTAGAAGACAAATTCTGGCAAAGCCACCCTGGCTGGGGTACAAGGTAATCCAAGCTGTTGGCCCTTGTATTCTCAATTGACCTCTCCCACTTAATCCACTTGGGAAGGATTTATAAAGGAAAGGTAAAAACTGCCCTCCATTCCAGGTCTCAGTCTTTGTTGTCTTTCAAATTATCATGCTCTGAGGGACCAATGAGTATGTGATTTCCCCAACCAACTCCTGCTGCATGGTGTCCCCAAAAACCCTCCCAGAATGAGGGAACCAGATATTAATATATTACTGCTCCGAATCACCCTTGGTGGCTTGATCACCTGTAGAGTAAGAATAATCTCGAATAAAGATTGTATTCTTTTCTCCTAATTTTTGTACCGGGGTAAAAAATACATAAGATTTACCATTTAACCATTTTAAGTGTCAGTTCAGTGGCATTAGGTACATTCACATGTACTTGTTGTACAGCCATCGACATCATCCATCTCTAGAGCTTTTCATCTTCCCTAACTGAAACTCCATACTCATTAAACAATAACAGTCTACTTTCCCCTTCCTGCCAGTCCCTGACAACTGCAATTTTTACTTTCTGTCCCTATTAATTTGACTACTCAAAGAACCACTTATAAGAGGAATCATACAGTATTTGTCATTTTGTTTGGCTTATTTCACTTACCACAATGTGTTCAGGGTTCATTCTTATTATAGCATGTGCCAGAATTCCATTCTTTTAAAGGTTGAATAATACTCCATTGTGTGTATATACATATTTTATTTATGCATTCATCCGTCGAGGGACACTGAGGCTGCTTTCATGTTTCAGCTGTTGTGAATAATATTACTACGAACATGGGTATACAAATATCTTTGAAACCCTGCTTTCACTTCTTTAGTGTATAACATCCAAAGTGGAACTGCTGGCTCATGTGGTAATTCTATGTTTAATTTTGAGAAATTGTCTGTTTTTCTCTTTCCTTAAAAGTATTTCTAAAAGCAGTTTTTATAGTTCCACAGATTAAAGTGGGTGTGACGCCAGAGGGAGGCCCTGACACTTTTTTAAAGGGTCTTATTTGATTAGAATAACTCTTCCTCTTTGGGGTAGAAGAGTATCTATTAGGTCTCTTTCACTTCTCTCTCACCAGGTGACCAAAGAGAACTAAGAGAGAAAGAACTCATTTATCTTCCTCTCACTCTGTCTCCTGAGCAAAGAGAATGTTTCTTTTCTTTTTATAAATAGTTTTGTTTAGGTGCTTACTTTATCATTTAAGAATTATCCATCTTAGAAACAACCCAAAAGTCCATCAAGAGATGAATGGATAAACAGAATATGGTATAAACAAAATGTGGTATATACATTCAATGGACTATTATTCAGCCTTAAAAAAGGAAGGGAATTCTGACATATGCTACATGGATGGACTCTGTATACATTATGCTAAGTGAAATAAGCCAAACACAAAAAGATAAATATTATATGATTCTTCTTATATCAGGTACTTAAAGTAGTCAAATTCACAGGGAACAAAGAATAATGGTTACCAGGGGCTGGCTGGTTGGGGATTGGGGTTACAGTTTAATGGGTAGAGAGTTTCAGTTTAGGAAGATGAAAAGTTCTAAAGATGGATGATGGTCATGGTTGTACAATAATATGAATGTACGTAACACCACTGAACTCTACACTTAAAATGGTTAAACGGTAATCTTATGTGTATTTTATCACAACAAAAACTAAAAACACACAAAAAGAATTACTAATCAAAAAACAAAAACACACATTTTTTAGAAAAACCCACAACCTCCTGGCCAAGAAAAATGATAGAACATATCTTATATGCTTGCTGCTGAGGCCATGAGAAGGGACTCTTGGCTACCTCCAATGCCTTCCATTAACCTTATTGTATTTACTAAGGATAAAATTTCGAAGTACTTACACACACACACACACACACACTCTAATTCACCTGTCTTTGAATGTATCACTTACCACTTTAGAAGGCAGTTTCTGAAAAAGTTCGCTAATAAGATGTCCTGATGGATTTGTGGCTACAACTATGGCTTCAAGAAGCTGCTCCAGGATCTCCTTCAAGTAACTTGGAGAAGACTGGGAGGAGGGTGTTAGAAAAACAGATAGAAGAAAGAAGTATTTTGTGAGAGAAATCAAAAAATAAATGCTAATATTAAATAATTTCTAACATTTTAAAGTAACTCGAAAGAGTAACTTCTAAGTAGTACTTATTTTGAGTACAAGTTTTAAGAATAGCACAGAAATGCTCTGATGCTGTATGTGGAGGTTATGCTCCCAGAACAGCATATGTGAAACTAATTTGATTCCTTATATATTTCAGTAACTAAATTTCATAAATCAAGTTTTTACTAAACTCTATTTCTACTTCATAGTAAATACTGTAACTGAAATTCAAGTGCCATATGTATGAAATGATGGAAACACAAGCCTTTTTAGGATTTGAGCAACTGAGATAGAGAAAACACATCCCTTGATATGTGGTAATTTCTATATGTGCTGTTCATATCTATTGAAGTCTTGGTATTCTAGAAGAACAACTACATATGTAAAGTGGGGACTACATATTTTTAACCATGGAGTGCTCTGCTAGATTTAATAACAGAATTGAAGTTATATCAAAACTGAATGGAGATTAAGTTTACTGACGCACATCACTTTTGCTCTCCAGACTGGCTGGTTAATTCCTACCTTAGTCACTGTTTCAACATAGGAAGTATATACCCCAAAGAGTACTTGGCCAGGGAGATTCTAAAGTCAGTTTCTAAAGTGAGGAATAAAATGTCTCAGTCAAAGTGTATATTAAATGGTACTTCAAATCCAAACCATGTTTTGTGAATATAGAATAAAAATTAATGGTTATTTCTGGTTTAAATAATAAAAGCACTAGTATTTTTTCCATAATCCAACAGAGATCTTTTTATTTAGTTTAGTCTTAAGGTCCAACATTAACTCCACAGAGAGGGCACTAACATCTCTTGGGCCTAGCATGGTGCCTTGCAAAAAGACACACAATAAATATTTAACACTTAAGACATATGATTACCTGGGAGTCTCCAACCACATAAGCTTAAAGAACCAACATAACACTGATGAAAGCAGATTAAAATACCCATGTTTAAATCATTTACTTCCTGACTAAAACATGGCACTACAGAGTTAGGTTCAAAATGAAGAGAGTTATATTCTACAGACGAGATTCCTTTCCTCCCAATCCTACCACTACTCTGGAAATGTGTTGCAGGTGACAAAGGGAGAAAGGTATGTGAATGCATTCATAGAACCTATTCCCACAACTAGAAAAATCCAAGAAAATCATTCTTAATTTAAAAATGAGAAACTTGAAAATTCCCTCTCTCTTCCTGAGAACTTTAGGGCTAGAAAGAAGCTTGGGAGGTATAAATATGAACATGCGAGATCTTTCCAATTTCTTACTGAAAGAAACACAGACAAATCCAAAATGCAGGCATTTTCATTTTTGACTAGAACCCTGGAGGCCTATAATAAAGCTGAGCCCCCTATAGGTAATGAATGTTCTACCCAAGAAAGCATGAGTTAAGCTGCTGCTCCTACATTAATATCAGAGAGTAAAATTCCAGGGAATCCCTAGTTAATTGCCTACCTAATTCCAATCACCTCGTTTCTAGAAAGAAACTGACAAGATGCCTAAGAACTAGATTTTGAGACTCCAAGAAGAATTCATGTTTTGAGAAATTCATCCACCACCGCTTCTTTGTGTTAACGTTTCAGCAAAAGGCGATCTAACTTGGGGAAGAAAGGGAAATGCTCTGCTTTGGGTGTCTTGCTATTTAGTTGTAGAAGAGAGATATAATTCCATATACTATTTTTTCCCCCTCTTTTTAAACGTGTGTTTATTCAGCAAGAATTTATGAGTACCTACAAGTCAAGCACAGTCTAGATGCCAGCAATAGGTGAACAAGGTGGTATCTTTTGTGGACTATCATTCTACCTCGGGGAAAACAGAAAGTAAACATGTAACCTAATAAACAAGATATTTCACAGATAGGGATAAAAACTGAAAACTATAGAACAGAGTGATGTGATGACAGAAAAGGAGTGTGGAGCAAATAATTTGGATAGGCTGCTCAGAATAGTGCTCTCTTATTTGATGTTATTCTAAGTGATATCAGAATAATGAAAAAGAGCCAATGACAGGAAGAACCAAGGGAAGCACGTTCAAGCAGAAGAGCAACTGTAAAATTCCAGAAGCAGGAACACACTTGGCACGTTCTAGGAACAGTACTCAGTCTAACCTACAAAAATATTCCTAACTAAGATGATTCCACTGACTCTAACTTTTAATCACAACACTGCATACTCTTACATGACATCTCAATCTAGAAATATTAG